GGGGGGATAGGGGTAGGACGGATGCTATCCAAGTGAAGCATAGAATCTTGGGCAGATCTGGTGAAGGAACAACACTAAAAATCCAATCCAATCTCCGTGGCGACTTGTATATAGACTCGCTTTCTTCCGGTTTTCTTCTGCATTCATTGAGTGAGTACTTTGTGTTGCAACCCCACTTTTTTATTCTCAGTCCAAAATATATTTAATTCCTTTGCACTATAGAACACTTAACACCTTACAATGCGTACCAGAATAGATCCACAAGTGTGGTAAAGTGAAAAGAACCTTATTCCAAGATTTTTCTGACCAGGATTACAGGGTATCCACCATCTTTGTTGCAGGACTGTTCTTTAGCATGTTAAATGTGTGATTTTGAACGCAGCCTCTAAAGTTTTTGGCCTAATTTTACATTGTTTAGTGTCATTCATCAACGAATGTAAAAACGATACCCCACCACCCTCAGTGCCACTTTAATTTCTACCAGAAAACAAAAGTAGTACGCCTTATCTCGCCTCTGTAATTTGTATATATGTATCTTTGTTATCTTACTTTGCAGTGTAATCGAAAGTTTTAGGTGTAACAGGGCCTACAAAAAGATTGGAACGTCCCTGCTTTGTTGTCTTGGGGACTTGAAAGACATCTTAATTCTCTCCCCGTAGAAGGTTCTTTTAGCTTTACTCCTCATTTCCCAATCCTCATTATCATGGTATTAATGACAATCATCTTTCATCTTTCTGTATTCAGGATATAGATAATGACATAAAGGAAATCTGCAGTTAAGTTTGGAGAAATGGAAGAAGATTATGTTGACTAAAGCATCTGCAACTTGGAATAGATACATCATACATACAAGAGAAAGGTAGAAAAATGGGGAGATGCTTCTGCTTGGAGGGCAGGCATGGAATGAGAATACATTCCTTTTTGTCCCCTTCAATAAGTTTGGTACTTATTCAGTCTATACAGTATTTAGAATAGATGGAAGTGGGCCCTCAACCAAAATCTTTTTATTCTTCGGTTGATATAAGACAGCCGGCCTCAAGAATTTGAACTCGGGTGGGACCCTTTGAAAAGAAAGAAAGATCAAATGATGGGTTGTACTTGCCTCCAATTCTTGCATTTGATGAGTAGAAGCACATCTGGTATGAATCTTCACACATCTTTCTTGGTGTAGGTCACCAAGACATCATTTTCTTTTCCTTGGAATTTGTTATTTATTTAAACAAAAAAAATCAATTTTAGCACTTGTGGATCTTTTCAAGTTATAAGGCAAACATTTACATAGGTAAGCATACAGCCAGCAAATGACATCTTCATGTCAGTCCTAACAGAACTTTTTCAAAGATCATTTTGGTGCTCATATATTATGCTGTTTGGAGGAAATCTGGTGGGCTTTAGGTAAAATGCAAGTGAAAGAAATTCCTTAACAGTTTGCTGGCATGTGGATAGGATAACATCATGAGGAACATTTCTGTGCATCTCTAGCTAGCTTGTTTTAAATTTAGGTCTCATTTCTTGAAAAAAAAATTCAGCACTTTTTTTTGGAAAAAGAAAATAGCACTTGGGTATTATCAAAGATGAGATGGCATCTTCAAAGATCGTTATACATTCGTCCTTTTCTTAGATATAGTTAGATCAGCAACTAAATCAACTATTTTCGTGTAGCACAGAATTCGACAAGCGTTCAGGTCCAGAAGAAGTTATAGTATAAATGGTTAGAAACTGGAGTTTCTGTTGGTATCTTACATACAAGCTCCATTAACTCCAATTTTTCTTTTTTAGTATAATCCCATATCATCATCAGGTAATTGGTTGAATGGAATTCATATTTTTGTTACTCAAACCATTCACCATTTTGTTTTGCTTAGGGGATCTTTGGTTGGTTTTTCATTAAGTCCTGTATGGATAAAGCTGTCAGTTGAATTAATCTGTCGGTGTGATTTAATCTGTTTGTATAGATTGTGAAGATTTTTGTTTGGAAGGGTTTTTCATAGATAGAAGGAGCCTGTTTTTTAATTGGGAGGGGCAGCTTACTTAAAGACCTGGCTTTCTGCATAAAGCTCCCCCTGAAAGTTTACTGAATAAACCACTTTCTATATCATTAAGCCACTACCAAACAATCATGTATAGCTGATCGAATAAGCTGTGAGTCCCATTAAACTCATTAAGCTGTTAACAAACAGGCCCTCAGACACTAATTAGTGCTGACCCAAACCGCACTTTTATCCGTTAGTACTTTGGTAAACGGTCCTTTACAACATCTGCATAATGAGATGATATCAATATTTTCTTGTTCAGAGTTATATTCAAGCAGAGAGAGAGAGAGAGAGAAAGATAACCTATCTTTTGGCAAGTACCAAGGTATGTGAAGCTCTTCTTTCTTTAATTTTATTCCTGTGTATATATTCTATCCAACTTTAGAATCTAGAAAATGGGTACTTATTCTCTTATGTACTTGTATTTCCTTTTTTAAGGCTCTCATAGTAATAGTCTTTAAGTTCTCTTTTTAAGACAAGGTGAAGCTCACATAAAGGAACATATATATATATATATATATATATATAAATATGTGTGTGTGTGTGTGTAAGAACGTATCATAGTTTAAGAATCATATTCCTCTTGGACTTTTATGAACCATGGGCACCTGCTAGAACCTTATTGGCGGTGGCTCAACCCACACGTGACTCGCACACAATCAAAGAGAAAACGAATAGAAATAACTATGGAATGTTATTCCTCCAGCTGAGAGATGGAAAAAGAAAAAGAATAGAAAGAGAGATTCTTAAGGAATAGAATCTTGGAATTTTATTTTTAAGTAAAGCCAATAGGTCTTATTCTCAAGTCAAGAATGTTGCCTCTTATTCCTTTCTACTCAAGGCCACAAAAAATGGGTTCCCACCCACACTCTTCATGACCTTTTTATCTATTTTTGGTTAAGATTATACTCCATAAGTTCGATGGAAATCACCGCTCCTTTCATTCTAAGAAATCCCATGAAAATTGCATGTAGCTTTCCCCATTTGGTAACTTTTTAAAGCTAAAATTACCTATTTACCCTAGAAAGAATAGATGATATTGATCTAGGCCTAAAAGATTTCCCAATCTAATCAAAGGCTATTTAAGACATGTCACTAGTAATCGAACACTGACTTGCATCAATCTATGCTAATCTATGTGTGTTAATTTGGTCGAAAGTTGAAATGTATCGTGTTCCTGCACGGTTTAACCTGAACAATTCATCTGTCTTTTGGTCATAGCAAAGTTATGCCAAACTAAGATTACTCGAAGAGGGTTGACTTTGACCTCTCTCTTCTGTGCTAGACAACCCACTAGAATACCTTCACATTCTAACATAAACTCGAGGTATTACCTTTTGTGATCAAACATTTTTATTCAAAGTAATTCGTTAGAATCATCAAACTATTAGGGGGCATTTGGTTTGTGGAATCCGATGGAATTGGAATTGCAGATTTCTTTGACCAAATTTCTTGGCTTTGTGGTTAAATTGATTAGATTCCATCAAATTATGCTTTTGAGGGATTTGATCATTTCTTTGCATGAGTCGATGAATTTGAACTCCATTCCTTGATAATGTAAAGGATTCATAATTTGATTATAAGTAACCTTGTAATCCAATTTAACCACCACCATCAGTTCACTATCCCCATCCTCACCACCTCCACCGCCGTTGCAACCAGAGTTGTTACCGTTGCCATTACCTCCACCTACACCACCAATTAATTTTATTACTAATTTAAAGTACAAAAATCCCATAAAGGGGTATTTTGGTCACTTATCATTATTTCATTACAATTCCAAAGTTATACTCTCCGAACCAACCAGCCAGACATATTTCAATTCCTTTGATGGATTCCATCCTATCTCTTATCAACCAAACGTGTGGTCAAAATGGATTCAATATCATTCCAATACCTTCAAATTCTAATTCATTCGACACAATTAGGTGTGGTTTGTTGAATCATTTTAAGACAACAATATATGGTAAGATTTGGGTTCTAAATGCCATGAGCCAAAAAGGGTGGGCTTTTGTTACAAAGGAATCATGTGCCACCTTTCTGCTAAAGGAGGGAAACAAATGGGATATAAGCTACCGCTAAACTAAATATGCTATCATCACACAACTTGAATTGCGATAACAAATCAAAAAATGCATTCACCTTATACACAGATACGTTTGGAGGTCCTATTATACCCAAAACTTTTTATTTATATATATATATATATATATATATATATATATATATAGATAGATAGATAGATAGATAGAGAGAGAGAGAGAGAGAGAGTCCGGTTCATATGAGAACATTAACCAAATAAGAGAATAAGAAAGCGGTCAAATCACATGTGATTCTTGTGACTTTGGCTGCAACCTGAGGTTGCAGACTACGTCGCCCTCACACCATTGCGTTGACCGTTGGTATAAAATCACATGTGATTTTTGGCCGATTTCGTGTTCTCTTATTTGGTTATTGTTTTCGTTAGAACTCTCCCTCCCCCCTCCCTCTTTAACCGGAGAAATTTGAATTGCAATAACAAATCAAAAATAAATTCGCCTTGATATGCAATATGTTACGATCTTTTTGGAGATCCTATTACATGCAAAGTTTTTGATTACACTGCAAAATGAGATAACAAAGATACATATATGTTAAGCATAGAAAAATTGCTGAACCTGAACAACTAACAATCTAAACCTTAACCTAAACACTTAATAATTTGAACCTAAACAATCTGATTATCTGAATCTAAACAATTTCAAACTAATTTACACACAATTAACTAGAGAAATTTGAAGTGAGTAACATGAAAGAAATCGAACTAACATGCTCAAATGAAAATATTTCTCAAGCATCCAAAACAATGGTTGAAATACACAATTTTGTTATT